CTCCCGCTCTGTACGCAACAAAATGAAAGAGATTATGCTGCTATCTCTGATAAGTGATCCGTCCGTGATGACGGTTACAGAAGCATGGTGTACCTCTGATATTTGTGACACAGAGATCTCGATCGACAACTATTCCTTGTTCAGGAGGGAAAGACTACATGGTAAAGGAGGAGGGAGCATTATCCATATAAAGTCCGACATCACTGCTACGCAGTGCCCCACATTGTCGCCAAACTTACTCTCTCAACCTTCCCTCCTAATAGGATGCATTTACCGGCCCCCTTCCTCCTCAGTCGAATACGACTACAAGCCAACAAGCGTGTTCGCTCGTGTGGCAGCACTACCACACACAGCAAAAATTATATGTGGTGACTTTAACATGCCAGGTATAACGTGGCAACCAATCAGCTATCCATAGCGCTTTGATAAATTCATAAGCATTCTTGAAACATAGGGTTGGCAACAACATGTGGAACACCCCACCAGGTACAATAGTGTCCTGGACCTAGTCTTCATAAACGGAGCCATAGCCACAAAACTCCAGGTGGGTACACAATTTTCAGGTAGCGATCACAAGGTTGTATGTGGATACTTCAACATATCCAGCACAAAATTAGCCCAAAAGTCAGGAACAGTACTGACCAGAAATTAGAAGTATGCCAAATGGGACGAACTACAATCGTTTCTGCGCTGCCCAGACTGGAGTCCCTACTTTACCAACAGTTCAGTCAAAGAACTCTGTGATCTATTCTATGAATATATAGGCACAGCTCAAGACCATATTGCTCCACTGCTCCAAAGAGAAATTAAGGAAAGCGGAGTTGACTGTATACCCACGAAAGCACGTAACCGCATGCGAAACCGTGCCACAGAGTACTACAAGTCGAATGACTTCTCATCGCTTGTCACACTCAGAGACACATACGACACAGTCAAGGTAGAAGGAGTAATAAAAGCCGTTAAACAAGAACGCATCTAATGTTTCAAAACTAGTAACGCAAAAGCACCAGTGAGACTGATGAAAACCCGGATAAGCAGCTCCAGAAATAGTACCCCTAGTTTACTCACGGACAACGGCATCCTCCACGACGACCCACTACAAATCAGCTAGCTGTTCGGTTACCAATTTGCTAGCTTCTTTACACAACAGGACGAAATTAAAGTCACTGGTGCACCGTCAACACCAACTCACTCGATAAGTATCATGCTCTTCACTAAACAAAACACTTTGAACCTCATACAGTGCGGGACCTGATGGGATCCCAACCATCTTGTTAAAAGATGGCGAAGTTATACCGCTGATTCTCTTGAAGCCCTTTAATACTTCCCTCTCAAGTGGCAATTACCCTGAGTACTGGAAACTATCATACATATGTCCTAAGCATAAGTGCGGACCAACATCTAATACAGAAAACTACCGACCCATAAACATTACGTCAGTAGTATCCAGGACTGTGGAAAAGGTGAGTGTGAAAGCAGTTGTCGACCACGTGACGACAAATCAATTACTCTCACCAGTACAACATGGATTTTTGCAAGGCCGGTCATGCGCCACCAGCTACCTTGACCATCTAGACAACGTTACAAGCAAGCGTGACCAGGGCCTATTTGTGGGCAAGCATTCAATAAGGTGCCTGACAAACGCCTAGTCACTAGGTTGCAATCATATGGTTTCTAAGACCCGTTACTGTCCTGGCTTAGAACATCTTTAGAGGGTCGCTCCCAAGTAGTAAAATTCAGTAAGTGCTACTCCTACCCTGGACCTATACAAAGTGGTGTCGCCCGGGGTAGTGTGCTAGGACCGATGCTTTTCCTAATCTATGTAAACGATATCTGCAGTGTTGTCCGAAATGGCATACCCTACCTTTTCGCAGACGACTTGAAGATAGTCCACAGCTTTTCTCCTGCGGCACTAACACAGGGCTTCCCTCAAATACAGAAAGGTCTGAAGAGAATATTCATGTGGAGCGTGACCTGGCAGCTCTCTCTAAATCCAAACAAAAGTGGCATCCTCCACTTCAATAAATCCCACCCAGAAGTAACACTACACTTGGGTGACATCGCGCTGCAGATATACAACACTGTGAAAGACCTCGGAGTCACTTACTCCGGAAGTTTGACTTTTACGGAGTATGCAGATTCAGTAGTTTCCAAAGGCAGAAGACCCATAGGTCTTCTACACAGAAACATACACCCGAGGCGAAACTTATACTATAAAAGGTTATGGTTAGCCCAATGTTAGAGTACTGCACAGTCATCTATAGTAACATGAAAGTATCTGATAGAGTTCGAGTAGAAAACATTCAACGAAACTTTACTCGGCGCCTACTAATACGTAACTAAGGACTTCCTCACGAAGCAAGATGCAAAAAACTAGGACTAGAATCACTCTGGCTGAGACGCCTGAGGCTCAACCAAACATTTCTTTTCGTCTTTTATTTAGAAACTCTAAAACGAAATCTGCTATCACTTTTAAATCAACACAGGCATATAATATGCGTAATAGCGAATACATCATCCCAATAAATAAGTATCGCTCAAAACTTCTATGTAGGTTTTTCACAACGCAATGCAGTATGCTATGGAACAAACTTCCTGCTCCTATACGAGCATGTCGTTCTCTCGGCCAGTTTCAACGATTACCTAGTGAATTCCTTCTATCTAACGAATCTCATCAATTAGTTGACGGCGAAACCACAAAAGGTAATACCATGTACAATGGTTCTACCGGTACCTAGACTCAAGGGAGACTAACAGCAATGACAAAAGTCTACAATGCTGAAAACTGAACGCATTAGTTAAGGCAAAATCTAATTTCTTTAAAAAATGACCAAGAGTGAACAGGAAGCGGAGTGCGATACGATACGCAACAGTGAACCCAGTAGCTACTCTAATGTAACCTACATTTCTTCATAACCCAACTGGGCTCACGACTTAACACCTATTTCCCAAAATTCGTCCTTTAAAATAATCTCTCTACTCCGAAGAGATAAAAGAACTGTCTATCGGTGCATTTTCATAGTATGTAACATGTTTTATCATTTGTCCTTTTGTTATCAGTACTTACATGCAAGTACTCTGCACCAACATATTGCTTCGGTAGCCCCGATACAGTATTAATCAACAGGCAACGCCATGATCATCCCCCCTTCGTGACCAGATAAAGGGTGGTTACCGTCTTAGAAAAAACCATGAATTTCACTTAAATGTTTATAACTTCATCAAACGCTTATACATAGCTATATAATAAGTGAATACCTGGTCCAAAATCCTCTAATCTCTCTATTTCGTAGTGATATCTTGGGCTTCACACTAATTTTCATTACTGTCGCGCTCACCTTCATATTCTTCCACCTAAGCTTACCTCTAAACGGTTGGTTCTGGATACTTCCTGGAGCAAGTTTTGCAGTCAGTACAAAGAACTCACCCAGATGTATCATGGTTGATCTACTCCTGCGTACTTTTGTGCCCCTGTCTCGAATTTTGCCTGCTGCTAGCTTTTGTTGTTCACTTTTCAGGTTTACCTAACCAGCCCTGCATTCAAATGGAATCCTAGAAATTACATTTGTGAGTGTGCACCATGCCATCAAAACCTTATGGCGAACGCGCACACCTCAAGGTCATGAATGTGATGCGGCCTCACCTTCAAGAATATCGGAAGATTCAAACAATAACCGAATAATCCCGAAATTCGAACTGAGCCTGCTTCAACGCACCTCCTATATGTCATAAATAACGGTATCTAATGTATAGCTTAACATTGCGCATAATGGTCATTTCTCATTACTAAAATGATCAAACCTGTAAACTGGTTTGCATTCATGCAACCTTTGTTGTGTGAAATATACATCATTATTAATTAAACGCTTATAAGGTTTCCTAACGCGGTAGTGAACGTCTAAGAATAACCCCATTGCCTCGGAGAATACCCAAAAGTTATCATCCTCATTCCGGGCTGCAAATCTTCCTTACAATTCCATATATGACTCGCTTACATGGCATTGGTCTAATAACAGCAAGGTTTCAAGTGCAAGTATGCGTGACCCGGTTAATGTTGCTACCAGCTTCAGTATGCCGGAGACGGGTTTTCATTTTATCTAGCATGCATGACAAGCTGAACCGGCTGCGTTTTCACTCTAATGCGAATACGTTTGGGAGTTAGGTCGCAAATGAATGAATAAATTTTCGCAAGAAGACACCAAAATAAAAACTCACTAGTATGGAAAGCAGCGTGGTCTTCAGCCAGGAAGTTAAGGCATGTGATGTGAACGGACGTAAGGACCAACCGTTAGTTCATCGTATTTATCGGATACCAAAAGTTGAGAGACCAAGGATGGATGCAATTTGGCTGCAGTATACGAACCGAGTATTTATCATCTCGTACCATCATGCACGGGATGTGTTTGCCCTCTAGTTAGGACATTGTAAAGGAACAACATAACGTAACACGATGGTATACTGAATAGTGACTCTGCTCAACAATATGTTTTCAGTTACAAGGGTCCTTCAAAACTATATAGGTCAGCATCGATGTCGAACAGTGCTAGAACTTGGGTTATCGGCATCAGCTTTCAAGAGAAAAAATTTCTGTGTTACTTTATACAAACCAAAAAATCGGGAATCCCAATATTCCATCAGTACAAAAAGGAGGTGTGAGACAGTCTGAGACCGATGACTGTAATTCTTTCGAATAAATAACACACTGTGGCTTTTTACTGACTGAATATGGGTGGGAGTAGTCGCAGGTGGAGCATCTATGGTCTACATGTATTTTCAGAATAATCCGCACAAGCCATTTGGATTCCAGGTATAGGACGAAAGATGATTTAATTAGTTCACTGCAGAAATTTAACTGGGAATCTGAAAGAATGACATGTTTTAAATCACATCTCCTCAGTTATGCTTAAGAAATCAATTTCTTTACCGATTCTGACGTCAAAAGTTATGAGCCATTTTTTTGGGTTGAAGAGAGAATATTGAAACGTACCACCTGTGTTGTTTCAATCTTTACGTCCCCACAGTTGCTGCGCTCTGCTCAAGGTTACCCTGGGCGTGATTGTGTGGACGTGCGTTCGGTAGTTGTGAGGGTAATTAATTCTTGTCAGTCTACAGTAACTGGTGTTTAGATAACTTAAAAATGGATATCGACAAAGTGCGTTTAGAAAAGCTAGAGAAGTTCAAGGGCATGAGCGATCAAGTGCGTATCGGCGGGAAGGGAACGGCTCGGCGTAAGAAAAAGGTTGTACATAAGAACGCGGCTGCTGACGACAAAAAGCTTCAGAGTTCTCTGAAAAAGCTTAACCTGAACACCATTCCTACTATCGAAGAGGTGGGGTTTATATTATTCTTACTCCGCACTAGGTTAATATGTACAAACCAGATGGTACTATGATTCACTTTAAGAATCCAAAAGTTCAGGCTGCTCCACATGCTAACGTGTTCGCAGTGACTGGACAAGCAGAGTACAAAGGTACTTTGCGTTTCCTTCTACATGTTTTTCAGCACTTAATGACCTGTTTCCAAATATGCTGAACCAGTGGGAGACAGCAAAGTTGCGGTTATCAAAAATGAATGGTTAGTCAAACGATCTTTTGGTGGCTGTGGGTTTTTATTATAATGATGACTTAATTGGTCAAATTATGTCATGCATTTTTCCAGGGTATTTTGTTTTTAGTTTAGTTGGTTGCGAACATTTTACGATTCCAATTACTGGGCAGAAGTAAATGCATATAGAGTTGCAAACGACCAACAAAACTACTGCATACTCGCATATTTTCTTTGGTTGAGGAGATAGTCAACTACTACTTGAGGTTGTTTAGTTCTTTGACCGTTTGTTCTGGGGTATTTTTGTTAGTTTGTCATTGGTAAGGAAATCCATGCCGTGGAGGCAAATGATGGGGTCCATTACCCTGAGTTTTACGAAAATAGAGTCGGGAAACCACATTTTTGGTACACTTGATTCATTTCTAAAAGTTGGTTTACGTGCAGAAAACATTCTCCTAATATCACGTCATACACTTTGGTTTGCGACCAAGACGATTTGTTTCTCAGAACGTACTACTGAGTGCATGACTGCATGTTTTGTGTGGTTGCTCTTCGAATTGAGTAGTAATATCACAACTTGCCAGGGGAATGAATGTCATCGATTTTGGACAGTGTTACCTTCAAAAAGTAGGTACTGATTTTGACTAGAATTACCATATATTAGCTGCCGTCTCTTATCAAAACTTAATGGCAGTGGCATCATGGAAATCCATGGCATTGGCTCTGGTTCATGCTATAAATCACTTATTTTCCCAGACGCCTATCTAGCAATATTTTTGTTGTTACCTAACTAAAGTAAACATGCTCATTAGTCAGAGATTCTATTCTAGTCGTTGACCATAGTTACACTACAATGGCATACCTCAAGTCTCTTTCACAAATGTCTAAAAACCAAGAGTAGTCTGGTTGTCACTTGGAATAGATGGATGTGGCTGCACCTATGCTATAAAAGGAAGTGACATTTAGGTCAAGTTTTGAGGGCTCAGACCGTGACATTTTTAATCATTTCACCAAGACACTCGAGTCACTTGCAGTTATGTCAACTCTAAGCTAATCTTCGGCAACTATGTTCATACATCAGACAATGAGCGGCGTATTGTGTGAGCTTATCGTAATACCCTGTTCTCCGTTCGTCCGTGGTTGGAGTGGTACTCGAACCCCATATCTCAATGATTAAAAGTTGAGGGTTCACTTTTAGTCTTGTACTTCATTCCACGTAATGCTCCAGAGGGATCTGGCTGGTAACCACTTTAGTCATCTAGCGCTGAAAAGTGTGATTTGGTCAAATTGGATGTGATTACTCTACCCTGGGTGCAATACGTACCATGCATTGAATCACGAACCTCCTAGAAAACCCGTTGTAAAATTCTAGTTTGCCTGAACTACTGAAATAAAAAGGCGAAAGTGCCTTCTGAATGTTAAGCTGTTCAGCGACGTGACCTGTCGACCTAGGCACTCAACTTTTGAGCGATTGGGTTCTATTCCACTTCACCAACTTCGAAAGGCGAGTGGTGTAAACTGCACTAGTGTTGCGCGTAGTCTGGTACAATAACACCTGTGTTCGGTTCCTCTACAAGAACAATCTTTTGTTGTAAGACTGACTGTAAGATTACAAATGTGATAATGATCACATCGGTCAGCTGGCAGCTGTAATCTTTTTTCATAAATGTTAAGGAAACCACTTGTATTGGCGGTACTAAGTCAGCCTTGAATCTACTTTCAATAAGTAGAGGTAGATTGTTATTAGTTCAGTCTGCATTGTCGGTTTGTGCATAACTAACCATTCAAATTCGAAGCGCATCACAAGATTTCAGTGTTTAGAAGATGGCAAACTGTTAGCACAACTCAAGAGAGCAGTTTCTGCAGTTCCTAACTAAAATAAGCCTCACTTCCCCTTCACTTCCGTAGTAGAGTGGGATGAAAGTAAACGTTACCAGATGTGGGTCTGGACTAGCTTTTTAGTTGTGACTGCGGTTACAAGTGTTGAAAGAGCATTGAGTAAAATGATATACTAGTCATTTCTTTGAATAAAGTATTACAAGATTTTCCGCTTGATGAAGTAAAGTATCACGCTAAGGGAAGTGTGAGTTGTGGCCTTCTGCTTAGAAATGATCACGTCTAATACTAGCTTGTATCCCAGTTAATTCAACGGATAGTTCCAGATAATTCTCAAGGCCTTGTCATCTGCTATCAGGGCACAACACCTCCCATGCCATATTATTTAACCTTTCCAACTATCACAAGCGTTGAAGACTACTTCAGTGCTTTATTCATTCATCAGCAGATTAGCTATAGGTGATTTAGCCTTCTAAATGTTTTGTCCATTGTTATCACTGCGAGTAGGCCACTTACCAGTTCCTGTCATATCCTGGTCAAACAAATGCAATTTTGCGTTAGATCAGTGGATCTCGATAACTTCATTATTGCTTATCTTGTATGCCTTCATATTTAATTTTGGTGATGGTCACCGCGTAGACTTTACAAGTTTACATTCCATTCATTTTGCTTGAAGTCTGCCGGATTATGCTCCTTTACGTCCACTAATTTGAACGAAGCGGAATTCACTAACCCTCCTCAGCCTCGTGAAAAATCGGTTAGAAACCATGTCTTTTGCAACACTAGATATGACTTCGGACTTCCTTAGTACTACTTTGCTGCATCCGTCGGTATGTGTAGCCAGTGTCTTAAATTCTCATCCTCTGATGTTGTAATCATCTACCTTATTAAGTTCTTCCAGTCGATGGACAGTCTTCAGTTGTGATCTGGTCAACCAATACATTTTTCTCTCTAGGACTCGCTGTATTCGTACTTGCAACATTGTAAAAACTGACACACAAACCCCCTGATGGTTTTACTCAGGTAATTTGCGATACAAATTAAAGCTACCTGTTTCCTTTATCACAGTGACAAGTCAACGGTCAGCCCTAAACAATGCAGGCTGTTTGCCTCACAGACCCCTGGTATCCACTGTAAGAGTTTTTCTTCAAGTGGAGACATGACGCGACTGTAATTAAAACATCTATGCTGACCATTTGTGATGAGTGTGTACCGTATGTTGCTGTGTAGGTGCCTTAGGCATACAGGTTGATAAAACCATTAACAATAGTTGGTTTTTTACTAGCCGATTGGAGTGCCAAGGATGTATATCATACAGCTAAATATCTTTCACATGAACCCGTGGTTTTATTTTACGATGCATTCTAAAGTGAATAATGTATGGCGAGTGGGGTTCGTTAAGGGTTCTCACTCTATTCTTATTCCAGTTTATCATTGACGTTTTGGTGGAAGCTTTCTTCTTTGGACTTCGCACAGGTTGACGTCATTGTATCAGAATTCTTCGTTCATAAGTAGTATGGTTATGTCAAGTGGAAAAGTGCATACTCTCTGAAATTCGCGAAGGGAAATTGAAAATGCTTGCAAAAAAAGCAAATCACTTAAGATTGTAAACTTTCATCATCTCAAGTAACTGAAACATGTTTCAGGTGTCCATTCATCATCTACCATAACTTGCAGTAGTAGCTGAAGTAGAATGTAACTCGGCAACCTTGTGCACATTCGTGCGGTAGGCCACGAGCCTCGACGTGTAGGAAGTTGGATAAGGTTAAGAAAGGCTAACTGGTAAGATTGAAACATAAGTTGATTCAATAAAATCCTTAACTGTTTGTGTAAGTTTTATAGTGAAATGTAGACTTCTTAGCTCGGTTCATGTGACATCACGTTAAAGATGTTACAGTTTGGAGTCATTCATAGTAGCACATATACACTGACGTCTAATCTTCAGCTTGACCGTTATATAACTTTTAATGATTTTTTTAAGACTCATTTTTCACCCCTTAACTTTCTGAGACTTGTATTTTTATGCAGTCATGTGAGAAATAGCAAATTATATCGATATCAGTTCAGTATTCTTCGCTCTGACCTGCAAATGATATCAATCATTTCAGCAACTTAAGCCATTATGTACCAATACTGGGTGCTATGGGGATATTAACTGACTCTGAATGCTGATATTATTAGGATACCACATATCTTACTCAGGCCGCTAATAGTGTTGTGTAGGTAGTTTTTCTGTTTTCTTCAGACATTTTGTTGACTAAACAGTTTTATATTTATTGGCAAAATATTCACTGCAGTGATACCGCCAACTACCCAGAGACCTCATAGACAGGTGCTATGTTACCTTTAACATTTTTCTATCGTGAACTTCAACTTACGATGATGTGGGTGTTGATTGAGTTTGGGTAACAAGCGTGTCAGCTATCTGTTTCAATCTAGGTTTGCAGTCTCATCAACTGACTCTATTCCCTAGCCTAAGATTCAGTGTATGATGTATTGGAAACGAGATATTTAACCTTTGCTGCAAAGGCTGGAAATTCATATCATCCACCTACTGTCATTTGCTATAATGTGCCATTCGGACAGCTTTTTAAAACAGCATTCTCAAAACTTTTGTCTAATGACCTAATTTTGCTATTGACTGCTTAGATATATTTGTATATAACTTTACAGAAGGCACGAAGTCAGCAGACTCAAAGGCGGAAGACGGAGATGACGATGATGTACCAGAACTTGTGGAGGATTTTGATGAAAAAAGTCGCTTGGAATAAAATACTTCATGTATACTTTGAGTTAACGTGGCTGACCTGATAACTTTTATAATGGAACAGAATGTCAAAATATGGTTTGTATTGTACAATGTTTGGTTTCCTACTACTTCTCGCAGCTTTTATTCTTCACTTTCTTCTTTTCAATCGTGCGATGCTACACTGTTTTACTAATCTTCATACTGTTAAGCACTATACATACCAAACACAGGGATAGCTTATTTCTGAGCAGCCCTATCGTATCAGTTAGAGTGAATTTGTATAGCTCAGTGAATGAACATGGAGTAAATGAAGCTTTGATCACACTTTTGTTCTACTTCTGCCTATGTACAACCGATGGTATATTACTAACATTGTGGTGGGATTCGATTCTATCGTCGAGTGGTCTTATGACAGTGTCTCATTGGAACGGGTACAGGATGAGTATATCATCCTGTTAAGAGTTCTGTATTCTAACATCTATGGGTATGTCAAAGCCCATGGTTGAGCTTCAGGCGAATTGTGTACGTTGACTATTGTTTGTCAAGGATGCTTATTTTCATTTAACCGCAGGCGTGCTTATGAAGACGTCACAAGAGACTCCATAGTATGGTGTAGAGCACACATATGACATTGTTCTGTTAGGTGATGTTGAGTCTAGTGAACACGTGGAGTAGGATTTCGATAATGATCGGAAAGCGTTTTTTCACCACCGTGATTGTTAGGTGTTTAATAACCGTAATGGATGTTTGGGGACTAAGTGAATTGGGTGGGAGTCGCTCTCAGTGTTTTCTCCACCATCATTGTACATAATTCCGTTGCTACTCCATTTCTTCTTGTCCTCGTTCTGCGACCTACAACCTTCCAATGCCTTGTTCCTCGTTCCCTTCATATTTGTGCATATATGAGTGATATTTGGCAACTTATAGGGTTGGGCATTAATTCAAAGACTTCAGTTGATTAGTGATGAGGTTCAGTTTCAAGTGTTTTGTTGTCCTTGTTGCTGAAAGTGTTGAATGATGACTGTTGTGTCTGTGGAAATTTGGTTTGGTAGTTGACGTTACGTGGAAGCTAGTGGAGTCATCTACAGAATATGCGTATAGACATACTTTCAACTAATAAGATTTTTGAGTCTGCCTGTCTGAAGCGTTTAGCTGTAACTGCGAGTTGACGTTCATCATAGTGTTTTTTTATGATTATATATATCGAGGGAATATGAATGGAACAACCTTCCTCGGTTTCTATTTTCAGTTGCCAATTGCTTCACTAAAATTAAGCATTCAATTATCGCTTATATTTTTGAGTTGAAGCATTTCTGTCTGACAACAGTGGTGTTACAGTACAGAAATGACCATACTTATTTCTCCCAGTCATCATCATGATCCTAAATCCTGAGATTTCTACAACCATTCTTTTGTGATTGTAGTTTGGTTTTGGTTTAACAACCTTAATTCAGTGTTAACTTTGTTAGGATATCAAGGGGTGTGAGTGTGGTTTGGGAGAATCTATATTGATTGGTTTATATTTCGACTGGGTTAACTTCTTGTTATTTGCGCTTGTGATTAATCTATTCGAGAGAGAATTAACTTAACTGATTGTAGCTTAGCTACAGAGTGGTGTTGTCAAATTATTCTAGGTAAGTGAGCGGTGCTGATTGTTCACAGCATCAAGCAGTTGAATAGTGAAATATTCCTTTACATAATGTGTAAAAATCATTTTTGTAATGATGATGAGAGTTAGTGATTGACACAGTTGGGATATGGATGGAGGAAATTAGGAGATGAATTTTATCTGAACAATGTGTGTGATGCCTGTGCAGTGTACATTGTGAAGAATCTGAGTAATCACACGTTGACTTGTCAAGTCAATTTGTATATTAAACCGATGAATGAGAGTACATAAAGAAGAAGAGGAGGGGATTAAAATTAAGGCAGGTGTTTGACATAGTTGATCCTAATGTTGGTAGGCAACGAAAGTTAACTAAGGTAGGTTTCAGTGTAAGGATAAATTGTTTTCGTACACACGAAGGTGATTTGAACTTGCGTACGTCTATGGCTTGTAGCAATTTTAAGGAGCGCGTTTTACTGTTTACATGTTAGTAATATAGAAGAGAATAACCCAAGTAAAAGTCGACATAATATGTTGGACTTGTAGACACACTCAGAATCCTGCAATCCTCCTTTCCATATTCGCCGTACAACCGAGTAGATCATCTGAAATTATAAAGTGAACAGAAGAAATGTAATGCTCATCAAATGTTTCAGACATTCTGATATGCTTATCATTATTATCGAGCAAGTACAATTCTAAGTCACTGAGAACATCAAAATCTTTCGAAGATCATATTTTCAGTCTGAATGATACTGAAAGTCATTTGTTCTTAGGACCGGTCTTCAACAACTTTCAGTTTTAGATGAGTGGTTCAAGGTGTTGAGGACGTCGACTGCTTTGCTCACCTCGTGGTGTCATCTCGAATGGGCTGGTTACTGATGGAATCGCAGCTCAGATACAGCAGCCTCGTTTCGGATTTGTCAACTCGCATCATCCATGGAGCCGACTGGCTTGATATTCGACTATGTGTCAGAGGATGAGTGAGTATACTGGGCTACAGTTTATTCTGACCTGTTATACGTCTGTGAGATATGGCCGTATAAGGTGGAGAATATGAAGCGGTTACAGATGTTTCACTAAAAGCATCCTCATAGCATTTTTCACATTTGGTAGAACCAGTGTGTTGGGAAAAGTTGAAGTCCGGTGAAGTGTACTAGGCAAGACAAACAAATCGACTGATGAGGTCGTGAACTGTCTGCAGTCAACTGTGATGGCTTGCACATGTAATACTCATGTCAAGCCATCGCCTACCTCAACATGCCATGATCAATAACCAATAACTAATATGATCTTACAGTCTAGCCAGATGTTGACCTCATCATATGAATTCGAATTAGTGAAGTGAATGAGACATGTGATAAAGATGAGGCGAAATTATGCAGATCGCAAATCGAGACATCCCGACTGGTGACAGAGTGAACCGATGGCGAAGAAGTGAAAGCAACAGTGAAGTGTTATGTAGGAGAAGTGGAGGAGACAACTGTGAGGTTGATTGCAGCAATTATTCATCAGTTCTATGTAAGTGGCAACCATCATCGGCATCCATAGAGCTTCAGATGTAGCAAGTGGATCCCATAGAGGATTAACTTCCTAATCTTCAGGAAGTTTGAATGAAATATGATGGAGTATTTACAGTTAACCGAATAGCGTTAGTGACATTCTTCAGACCGTGTCTCTGAAAAATCAACCACGGCATGTTAACGGCTCAGTGCTGCGCATCTTGTGAAGCATCTCCATTTCCGATGAAATATTTGCATCGTTTTATTGTAGCAGTTGTGATCATGCAAGTGACTTTCACACCATTGCTTACTTTATTCATTTTTATGAGAAGTTTTGAAGAAACAACCGTGTCAGTGCAGATTAGTTTGAGGGAGTGAATGCATTCTTTGAAATCTATCAGTATCTATAGGAATTTGAAAGCGCTTGTTCACTCACCATCCTCAACGTCCCAGTGTGAATTTAGTTTCCACGAGCTCGTGATTCACTTGATTATCTCGTTCTGGAGAAGTTAATGAGATAAGGGAACGAGGAGTTCATCAAGTCTTTCAGGACTGATGCCGCAATTGTCATCATACTGATCATGGCATTGTCATCAGACATCGCATCATTATGAATATCGTGCAGAAACTTGCCAGCTTGGAGTGAAACTGTTGTTCTTTGTACAGTTATGCTTAGAGAAATACACACCCGATTGTCCCGCTTGTCTCATGTTTCACGCTGCATGTTTTCATCCACGAAGAATAAATATTCTGAGCATTCATATATTTGAGGAAAGGGATGCATAACGACTACAACGCTATCTAGTAGTGCTAGAGGAAAACACCTGGAGAAGGAATGTGAAATCTCTTTATACGTAAAAGACAAGCTGATGAGGTTTCCAAAGAGACAGAAATACTCGGTGAAAATCTTTAGAGGAAAGACTGCAACTTATCTGTGCATCAATTCAGAGTAAACAAACAGGTTTTCGACTTGATTGGCGCAACATAGAGGAGCGTTTCCTGGAAGTGAGACAAGGTTCACTACTGTTTTGACAGTGAACACAGCATCATGAGTCGTGATATACCAATCTTCTCACACCTCTCAAGTCTGCTCTCAACCTTATCCATTCCCGTCAATACTTCGTCGGATACCCACATGGACAGCAACTAAATGTCCAGCAACAATCTCATCAACTCTGTCACTCTTTCAAACACTCATTCTGCTGTTGATTAACAGTCACAACTTCCACCACTATTTGAAGGAGTACACACGAATAAAATCAACAAAGCCATTCAGACACTATCGTGGTAATTTCATTACAGTTTATATCACGACGATGAAGCTGACTGTACTGAAAGGAGAACCACCTGTATGATGTGTTCTGCGACTGAAGATGGGGTGGTATGTTCATGCTTTCTCTCCTAGAGTAGGCGATCGTTGATGCGCTGACTTCTGCTGATAACATCACAAAGCAAGTGTGCTGCATTCACACAAGTGATTAGGCTTATGTGGTAGATATTGAACAAATGAACACGATATAGGCTACTTATCATGTGCACTCCTATCTCTCCAATGTAGTCGAATTGATCAAGCTGAACCATATGGGAACGCATAATCGAGGCATAACTACTCAGAGATATGAATGAACAAACCTGTGATGAGGATATATGTGAATTCGAAGACACTTTTATGTAATCGGTGTTTTCTGCGAATGGAATGTTCTACGTCATGCAGAGTTGGATGTGTAAGCCAATTCCTAGAAAACATTCATCTCTACTCAACACATCCACATATATATTGGAGGAAAGTCACATAGTAAGATGTGCAATTAGCCGAGTGCACTGATAAGTCGATTCGGTGACAGATACCCGTCAGAAATGTCTCTGGAAAACTAGACCATACACTGACTTCCTAAAACATAAACTGCAACCGCTTCACTTCACCTCATTGTCTATTTCTCAGGAATCGAGTGATGAGGGAAATCAGGTTAGACAGTTATTCTACCAGTCTTCGCATACGTTTTCCAAAATGCAGGTAATACGCAGTAGTTATATGAAGCAGACCTCCTAGTTTTAGAATCTCAGTCAAACAACAGTAACTACTCATGCAAATCCTGTGACACCAAAACACCCATCAGTGTGGGGATGCTATTCATTTACGAAATGAATATTCCACCGTAGTACAATGAACCTCAATCAAATTCGATGAGTTGACAATTCACTGATATTGGGCTTA